TCAGGTGTTGAAATGTTTAGCTGCAGGCATCGAAGGGAAACGAAGACAGGTGAATTCAGAAGGTGTTAAGGATAGGAGTTTAGTAATTCAGTTTGTCCGTGAGGGAGAGAAACGCAGACGAGATAAGTTAGTGAGGAGGCAAGGGTGTGGCCGCCTAGAAGGTGCTTGTGATTGGGAAATGCAAGTAGATTTAGGGGGAAAACTTGTTGTTCCCCAGGAAATAGTTTGTACCAGGCAGAGGCCTGACTTAGTGTTGGGGTCAGTGAGTCAACGGATAGTTTATTTCATTGAGCTGACAGTTCCTTGGGAAGACTCAGTGGAAGAAGCCTATGAAAGAAAAAAGCTTAGATATGCAGACTTAGGAGCAGAAGCTAAGCAGCGAGGATGGAAGACTAGGATTTGTCCAGTGGAAGTGGGGTGTAGGGGATTCATAGCAAGATCAGCTGTCTCGCTCCTGGGGGAACTCGGAGTGCGGGGACAGAGTTTGAGGAAGACAGTGAGGGAAATGTCAGATGAAGCAATTAAATGTAGCCAGTTTATCTATAAGAGAAGAAGTAATGTCAGCTGGGGGCCAGCAGGGGGGAACTACTAAACAGGGCACATAACTCCTTGAGATCAGGTGGAGACATCCACTTCCTCTCAGGAGGAAATCCAGGAAGAGGAAGTATTTAAGTGTGGGAGTGGCCTATTTGAATCCATTTTGTTTGAGGCCATGCGGCAAGGTGAGTGTGTTTGCTGATCCTGTAAGTTCATTTAGCTCCTTTAACTTTAGCTTATATTGGAGTTATGCTATGTAGCATGTGAAATAGAGTATGGTGAATGTACTAGGAAAGGTAGTATCAGCATTGCTTCTACCTAGAGCTCGCATGTACGGAGCCTGGGTTTGGCTGAAGGTGGCAGTGCTGTTTGGGCTAAGAAAGCCATGTGTAAGTAAGGTAAAGGAGGTTATTGGGTTGGTGCAGGGAAGGGAGCAGTGAGACCTGGCATTAGGGGAGTGTCTCTGGGATGCTGGAGATCACTGTCTAGCCTCCTGGAGGTGTCGTGGGACCAACTAGACGAAACACTGGTGAAAGGAGGTTCCCACCCGATGACCCCAAAGACATGCTAGTTATCACTGCTCATTGGTTTGTATAGTTAAGCCTTGCCATATTAGCTTATCATAGGGCTTAGGTTTTTTCACTGAGTGTTGATCTTTTCTTTAGAGCACAAGCTTCTTGTGTTTTATTTGAATGAACTGAGTACTCTTGCAAAAAGGCATGTGTACAGCAAGGGTCAATGCACTTGGCCTCTACACAGTACAGTAAGTGTTTCGACAACAAAATGCTCCTCATTGGACTAAATATGAAATAATTCCCCAGCCTGAGACTGTCTTTATTTAAATCATCACGTGACAGAGGTGTTCATGTGATAGGGGATATGTTTAGGATAACATCTTAATGTTCTTTCAGCAATTTCAAGGCAAATTTAATCTCCCTAAGACTCACTTTTCAGATATTTAAAAATGAGGCATTTCATTAACTTGCTTATAAAGCCTACAGAGGACACCTCCATCTACAGTGAGGCAGAGAAGTTCATCCTTGAGCTGAGGGACATGTAATATTCCTTTTCTATTCAGTACTTAACTCTGATGATAAATGTGACACAACCTAATTCTCACAAAACTGGGAAGTAGACCCAGGCAATGAATACAATGAAGAAGACTGGCAGGAGGCAGTACGCCAAGCACAATCAATCTACACTTGCAACAAGCTTGCGGAAATCCAATATAAAATATTACATAGGTTCCATATAGCTCCTGATGCCCTGCCCAGGATATCTCAAACTCTCTCTCCCATTTCCCGAAAGTGTAAAGCAGATCTTGGGACTCTTTTCCACTTCTTCTGGGAGTGCAATCTGATTGATAGATACTGGAGTCACATAACTTGTAAGTACTGCAGGATCTTTAGGACTAAAATAAAAAATGATCCTATGTTATCACTACAGGGTTTGCCCTCAAAAGATGTAGCACTCTCCCATAATCATTATAACTTGCTGGACAAACTTTGGTCCTTCCTTGTAAATGCATCCTGTTAAAATGGATTAAAGATACTCCACCCACAGTAACAGTTTGGTACAAGGGGATTTTCAGTGTCTTACCTCATGAAAGAATAAGTGCTGTCCTTAGGGGTGATAAGGACTCATTGCTTAAGATCTGGAGCCCTTTCCTTAATCATTCACCATCTACACTTCAACAATCTGTGTTAAAAGGTCGATACCCTTGAGAGTGGAGGCAAACTATGCCTAGTGCCAAATGAGATTTCCTAAATACTTATTTATAGGGATGCACAATGTTGGATTTTTTGCCAATATCCGACACACCGATATGTATCAACTTATTTGGCCGCTAACAGATACCAATATCAATATATCCACCAACCTAATTTTAGTGATCAAGTCTCTGACTGTTTTGTAACACTGTTAGCCTCGTGTTATGAAAATAATAAAAATATGTTAAAAAAAGAAAAAAAAAAAGAAACAATAATTATGAAGTTTCCAGTAGGGGTGGGAACCACCAGAGGCCCAATGATACAAAATTATCAGGATATCATGATAGGCAAGTCACAATAGGGGCAGCAGTAGCTCAGTCCATAGGGACTTGACTTGGGAACTGGAGGGTCACCAGTTCAAGTCCCCGCCCGGACCAAATATATGGAGCGTGGATTGGAGAGGTGCCAGTTACACTGGAGAGGTGCCAGTTATACCCTGCCAAGGTGCCCTTGCACAAGGCATCGAACCCCCAACCACTCAGGGCGCCTGTCATGGGCAGCCCCCTCACTCTGACATCTCTCCATTTTATGCATGTACTGTATAGGTCCTGTTTCTGGATGCATGTGTATTTCGGGCCTGTGTGTATATGACAACAGAGTGAAAAGATTGAATTTTAATAAAGTATATAAAATTAAATTAAAAATTAAATAAAATATAACTGTGATTTTAAATGTGTGTCAGTGTCCAAATACTTACAACCTGCACTGCATGTTAATAGATCCAGTCTGACTTTGGTCAATTCCAGTATGATAAAAGTCATTAAGTTTACCCACTATACCTATGTTGTACATACATTTTTAGTGTATTTACAATGTGCATATTGAGATTCAACAAAAAAGTAATGAAATATCAAATATTTTAACTGTCCATTTCTTTTAAGGTTGTCATATAACATTACTTAAATGAAGCTCTAATCACACAGGCATTGCTGTTTTCGAAACCAGTGTAATCTAAGCCTTAGTGCTGGTACATGATTGAAGCTTCCATCTGGTTAAGAGTTGCTCTCTGCCACCAAGTTATAGTCATGGGAAAACTAAAGTGTGCCATGCTTGCCATGGCTTTTTCAATCTAACTACTGTGCACATGACATAACTGGGGTGAGCTGATGCAGGTCTAATGTACAAGAGATAATTGAAAGGAAGGGTCCTTTAAAGGGCCCAGCCTTGGTACAAGTGTCCATAGTGCTCACAGTAAACAATGAAAAATAATGTGTGACAACGCTCCATTTGTTATGCACCCGTGGGTTTTGATGTGCCGTGTAACAGTGGAGGGGGCTGGGGTTACATTTCACCCAAATGCTGCCAGCAAAGAATTTCAACACATAGACATATCATAGCATCCTCTTTCATAAAGTTTGATAGTGCTGTCATGAGTATACACTGTGTCTTATTTGCTGAGAATTATGGAAACCCAGATTTTTAGATGTTATTAGCTGCTGATAATAATCAGCTGGTCATTTAGTAACTATGATTTTAACAAGAATGGCTCCTCTATCTGGTGAAGTCTTGTGCCTGCCACTGAGAGGAGTTGGCACACATCCAATGTACAGCAGTGTCAAGTGCATTTGGTGGGAAAATAACATTTTCAAAGGCGTTTTGCTGATGTCAGTAACTTTGCATCAACAAATGCAATAACCACACTGGTCTCAATCTGTTTGCATAGAGTGTTTAGAGTGCTCCAGGGGTAACATTTTTCTGACACTGACACGTACAATATTGTACAGTAACCTTCAGTATACTAATTTATTCTCACCAACACATCTTAAATGTATACATTTATTCAACATGTTTATTCTTATTCTTGTTTGTATTATTTTGATGTATATATTGTAGTGAACATTATTGCATAATGCATATTTTCTATTTTTGAATGTAACATACTAGTTTATACAGTGTCATGTAGCCACAATGCACATGTTTGTATATTTTTACACACTTACAGACGTTTTTATTTCTATATCTATTTTACTTTTTATTTCTCTGAGTACTCCGGCTTCCTCCCACAGTCCAAAGACATGCAGGTTAGGCTAACTGGTGACTCTAAATTGGCCATATGTGTGAATGTGAGCGTGAATAGTTGCCTGTCTCTATATGTTAGTCCTGAGATAGTCTGGCAACCTGTCAAGGGTGTACCCTGCCTCTTGTCCAATGTCTGCTGGGATGGGATAGGCTCCAGCCCCCCCCCCCCCCCATGTGATCCAATGATTTAATACCTTGCAGCGATTTCCTCAATTAATGTTCGATTTGACTTTTGATTTAATTATTCACTGGAGGGCATTTTTTGGCACAGGACATACTACTTACTACATACTACTTCTGCTTTTCAAAATAAGGAAACAAGGTCTTAACAGTAGACACAAACTACATGATGAAATTGCATTATATTCACAGAAAGTATAACAATGTATAGCGACACGAACACCATAGTAGTTTAGTCAGTAGTAGCTGATGAGTAAGAGCTAGTAGCCCAGTTTGCTCGCTTAAAAAAAAACACTCGCGAGCTCGACCTCCACATCGCATTCCTCGCGCAAAGAAACTTGCGTTGTCAATGTGAAAAGAAGGCAAAGTCCACAGAACGTCAAAGAAATCAAGTATGCCTGGTGTACTGGGTGTATGCCGAATTAAAGAGCTGATGCTAATGGTTCTGTGGACACCTTTGCCAGTTTACACAACACCAAACACTGGGTCACTGACCTATGCTGGGTATTGATGCGCAGGACGCCGGTGAGCTTTGGAAGAGGACGAGGCAGATCCAGCTGGTCACCAGACCAGGAAACATGGCAGTTGCAGAAATATTTCAAGTAGTTATAGATGCCAGAAGCCACGGCCACTCCGGTGCTGCCTGTAGCGACTATCTTATTGTTTTTAGTGGATCTGAGCTCACACACATCCAGGCTGTCGTTGGCAAAGCTCCTGTTGACTGACACTATGAACTCCGTAGATCTGTTCCCGAGCAGGCGTTTGAGCAGCTCCACCACTGCTCTCCCCTGTGCCTTGTCGCTGGCTTTTGCTTTGATGTGGTCTAGGGTTGGAAATTTACAATAAGCAGTTACAAAAAGACAGAACACGACGAGCAGAACCAGGCTACAGCCGCTCCTAGGTGACATTTTGATCCCCAGTCAAGTGAAGTGGAGTTTCCCACCGTAGAGCAGGTTTAAAAACAACTTTATTTCACAATTTGCAGATAACCAGGAAGCGTCGCTTTACTGAAGCGCTGCTGGCCAATCAGAGAGAGAGCTGCTGTCTCGATTATAACTCACAGCCAATCAGAGGATGCGGTGCTCATGTGACCGTGTGAGAGGAGACGGTGGATAAGGATAGTATTAAAAGGGGTCATCCCTGTGTTCCCCGGGTTCTAAGTTCCCCATTTAACCCTGCAAAAAAGGTTCTATGTTTCCCGGGTTCTATGTTTCCCTCTTACTAAAAAAAAGATTCTATGTTCCCCGCTTATCCAAAAAAAGGCAGGAAACATAGCAATCAATCAACCTTTTTATTTAGACTCCAGGTCCATTAAAAAAGACAGACAAACATACAGTATTTAAAAAAGAGTGTCATACCAGTGTTTCCACATAGCAGACTGGTATCGTACAGTACTGAGGACAGGGTTAGTCAACATCATTATAATTGCATTACAAGAACTGTTAAGTCGACATATAAATTTGAATGTCAATCGTCCCAAAAGAGCATGAAATGTGATTACTTGTACTTTACAAAAAAGTTCACTTGCACTATACCATCTTGGTTTCCCAAGCAAAATTTCGCAGACAATCATTATACGCAACCTGAAGTTTGCAGATGCTGGCCTTTTTGAACTTAATCCACAAGGGCGCAGTATAAAAAGGGGTGCAGTAAGCCCTGAAAAGACTCACTTTAACCTTCTCTGAACACCAGGAAAATCTTCTGGTCAACAAATTTGCCTGCATATATAAACTACGACGCTGTCTGTTCATATCATCATCATCCGTCATATCATCAGTGATGATGTGTCCCAGATATTTAGTTTTAGAGCAAGCAGGGAGCACTTGTCCTGACAGGTAAAAAGATGGAAAAAAGAGGTCCTTATCACATTTTACTCAGCAAATCATAACAGAACTCTTCTTAGCGTTATAACTCACATCAAATTTTATACCATAATCAGAACATATGTTGAGCAGCTCTGCTAGGCGAAACAATTGCCAAATCATCGGCATACATAAGATGATTAATAAGTACACTACCAACCATACAATCTGTTTTACAGCTTCTTAACTGGACTGAAAGATCATTCATATAAATATTAAAGAGGCATGGTGACAAAAGCCCCCCCTGTGGAACGCCATTACTTGTCCCAAATGGAGCAGAGACAGCATTTCCCCATTTAATCTGCATGCTCTGGTTAGAGTAGCAATAAGACAGGATCCTTATAAAACTGTCAGGCACTCCCCTCTGATGTAATTTTAAAAACTATTTAGAATGATTTATACGGTCAAATGCCTTTGATGCATCTATGAAACCAATTAAAACAGTAGAGTTTTGTCTTCTATATTTTTCCACCATAGCAGTTGCATTAATATGTTGTTTTAACATCTCTAAACACACACAACGGAACATAATGGGGATAAATTACAATCAGAAACTTACCCTTTGGGCGATCTATGGTGGGCAATCTAGGCAATTATATCCTTTACAGAAGGTTTTTTAATCCAGCCGTTTTCGTTCCCGAAGAAAGGCTGCACTTAACAGCTTATTTATCTTTATTTCGGCCATGATAATTATTCTTTTCTCATCAGTTGGTCTTTGGCTGCTCAAAGAAATCTGCACTGACTGAAACACTGCATTTAACGGCTGGATTAAAAAACCTTCTGTAAAGGATATAACTGCCCAGATTGCCCACCATAGATCGCCCAAAGGGTAAGTTTCTGACTGTAATTTATCCCCATTATGTTCCATTGTGTGTGTTTAGAGATGTTAAAACAACATATTAATGCAACTGCTATGTTTCCTGCCTTTTTTTGGATAAGCGGGGAACATAGAACCTTTTTTTAGTAAGAGGGAAACATAGAACCCGGGAAACATAGAACCTTTTTTGTGTAAGCGGGGAACATAGAACCTTTTTTGCAGGGTTAAATGGGGAACATAGAACCCGGGGAACATAGGAATGACCCCTTCTTTTTTCGTGGCATATGTTACCAACTGTTCAGAACAAGCAAGGAATAAAACTGAAAGGATTAAAATCACAGTGAAGGCAGCTGCAAAATTGAATATGAAGGATCTGTCTTAGGAAAAAAATACATGCAGATCTTAATCAAGGAGAACCTACTTCAGGTGGGAATTCACAAATTATTCCATGATGTTCATCCTGCAGTGGAATACAAGATGTCCTATATCTAATGGACAAGAGTTTAAAGGGTACATTTACAACTTTGAAATAAAACCAGATATAATATGTATACAGGAAACATGGCTTAAACCAGAGTTAAAGTTTGTGATAACTGGATATTCTTGCATACGCAGAGATAGAACAAGTGGAAGTGGGGGAGGGTGTGCAATATTTGTAAAGCAAGGGATTAGGTATAGGGAAATAAAGTATGTGCAAGAACTAGAGGTGAATGTAGTTGAAGTGTGGACCTGTGATGGAAGCATAAAACAGTTAGACAAAGGAGTCCATCTTGGAACAATGGAGGGGAAAAATAATCTGGTGCAGGGATTTTAATGCACACAGCAAACTCTGGGGGAATCAACAAGATGCAAACTGGGAAATTATAGAAGATCTCATGGATGAAAAAGAGCTGGTGTGTTTAAATAACGGGGCAGGCATGGGAGGAGGTACTGCAGGATGAGTATGAGTATGATAATACAGTGAATATGGCATTTTCATTGAGAGGGTTAAATAAGATGTTAAAGAAATGTGGAAAGACAATGCCAGGGAAAGATCAAATTTGTTATACTATGTTGGATAATTTAAGTGACCAGAGTAAGAATACGTTGTTAAAATTGTATAATAAGGTGTGGGAAGAAGGGACTTTGCCCAGGCAGTGGAAGGCATCTACTATTGTTCCCATTTGCAAACCAGGGAAAGATCCTAGCCTTGCAGAGAGTTACAGGCCCATAGCCCTGACATCACATGTGGGTAAAGTTATGGAGAAAATGATAAATGATAGATTAATTTATTATCTGGAAACCAGAGGAGAAATAAAATGTTACCAGAGTGGCTTCAGAAAAGGAAAAAGTACTATAGATCCTGCCCTCAGGTTAGAACATGAAATTAGACTAACAAATAAAGTGTGGTAGCTGTATTCTTTGATGTAGAGAAAGCATATGACATGATGTGGAAAGATGGTCTGTTAATTAAACTGTATAAAATTGGGATAAGAGGCAAAATGATCAAGTGGATTAGACATTTTTTAAGTGACAGGAAAATATCTGTAAGAATAGGGAAGGAATTCAGCAATGAATATTTAGTAGAGAACGGTAAACCACAGGGGAGCATTGTCAGCCCAATATTATTTTCAGTCATGATTAACAAAGTGTTTAATAATGTAGAGACAATGTCGAGAGTAGGAGTGTCGCTGTTTGCAGATGACGGGGTTATGTGGAAGAGGGGCAGAAATATTAAAGCTGCAGTAGGTAGAAAGCCTGAAAACAGTTGATTTTTGAGTCTCATCTGAGTTAGGTTTCGTTCATCTCCGCCCTGAGCCCCTCCTACCAGACGAGCACGCGAGTATTTTATCCTACTTGGTTCTATTTCTCCCTCTCTGGGAGCCTCGGCTCTCCCTCACCACGCAGCAGCCCTCCCCATCCCTCCCTCGCGGCCCCGCACATACTCCCGAGCCTCGGCTCTCCCTCATCACGCAGCAGCCCGCCCCATCCCGCCCCATCCCGCCCCATCCCTCCCTCGCGGCCCTGCACATATACCCCGGAGGCTCAGCTCTCCCTCTCCGCGCAGCAGCCATCCCCATCCCTCCCTCGCGGACCCGCACATACTCTCGAGGCTCGGCTCTCCCTCTCCGCGGAGAGCCCTCGGCTCCACTCCCACGGCCAACCCTTGTGCCCTCTGGCCGGGCCCGGCCCCACCTCACCCTTCCCCTCCCTCCGGGGCTCCGGGGAACCGAGTTCTGTCTGCCTTTTTTTGGGTTGTTTAGCCGTGTAGGCAGTTGTAGACAATGCTGGAATAGCTATTTTACCTGGTGCACTGTTCGCCATTGCCGCTTGCTCTCCCCATCTGCCGGCAGCACAGGAATATATGCATATACAGTAGAACAGCCAATAGGAACGCAGTGGTCTGAGCTGACCTTTGATTGGTTGATGCACATCGGCACAATACTGATTCTTTAGAGGCTGAACACAGAGCCATGGTGAGGTGCAGAAACCTATTGTTTGTCTCAGACCACTTGATTTACATTACACTTAGAGGATATAATAAAATTTTTACTCAATTATACCAAAACAATGTTGCCTACTGGAGCTTTAAGTACATTGTTAGGAAGTTACAGCAGGCAATAGAACAAGTAGAAGCATGGGCCTTGGAATGGGGTTTCAGATTTTCATTATCAAAGACAAAAGCTGTGTTTTTCATGAAAAAGAAAGTTGAAAATGACATCAAGCTAAAACTCTATGGTGAGGACTTGGAGAGAGTAGACTGTTTTAAGTACTTGGGAGTCTATTTTGATAAAAATCTTACATGGAATGTGCACATTAAGAAGATGGTGAAGAAATGCAAAAAGGTAGTGAACATCATGAGGTGCTTGAGAGGTAGAGAGTGGGGAACTAGCAGAAAAGCATTAAAAACTGTGTATATCAGTCTGGTTAGAGCTGTGATAGACTATGGGTGCATCATATATAATTCTGCCTCAAAAACACTACTATCTAAATTGGATGTTATCCAACATCAAGCATTAAGGCTGTGCTGTGGGGCCATGAAGACAACTCCAACACCAGCTTTGCAGGTAGAGATGGGGGAAATGCTGGATGAGACGTCTCCAGATGGCTTTAACATACTGGGCTAATTTGAGGGGACATGATGGAAGTCATCCAAATCAAGAGCTGCTAGAACCCTGTCAAAAACTGGAAAATCAAAAAATCAGGAGTTTCAGCTGGGTTATACAGGCAAAGTTTGCAGATATTGGCATAGCTGATAAGGTGCTGAGTCCCATTGTGCCACTCTCTGTCACACCACCATGGATTATAGAGGACACAAGAGTTGATTT